CCTACAAGCCACTCTAAACACCTTTGCAGAAGCATACGAGAAGCTCGGCCTGTCATTGAACATTGAGAAAACCAAGGTGCTGTTCCAGCAGTCACCAGCCAATCCCTCTCCAATGCCAGTGATACAGCTTAATGGTGTAACATTAGAAAATGTTGATCATTTCCGCTACCTTGGCAGCCACCTCTCCACCAAAGTCAACATCGACGCCGAAATACAACACCGCCTGAGCTCTGCAAGTGCAGCATTTTCCAGAATGAAGCAGAGAGTGTTTGAGGACCGGGACATCCGTAGGGAGACCAAGGTGCTTGTCTATAAAGCTATTGTCATCCCAACCCTGCTCTATGCCTGCAAGATGTGGACTATCTACAGACGTCACATGCAGCTCCTGGAACGATTCCATCAGCGCTGCCTCCGGAAAATCCTGCAAATCTCCTGGGAAGACAAGCGGACAAACGTCAGTGTGCTGGAAGAAGCAAAGACCACCAGCATTGAAGCGATGGTCCTCCAACATCAACTCCGCTGGGCCGGCCATGTTGTCCGGATGCCTGACCACCGTCTCCCAAAGCAGTTGCTCTACTCCGAACTTAAGAACGGAAAACGGAATGTTGGTGGACAGGAAAAGAGATTTAAAGATGGGCTCAAAGCCAACCTTAAAAACTCTGGCATAGACACTGAGAACTGGGAAGCCCTGGCCCTTGAGCGCTCCAGCTGGAGGACAGCTGTGACCAGCAGTGCTGCAGAATTTGAGGAGGCACGAGTGGAGGGTGAAAGAGTGAAACGTGCCAGGAGGAAGGCGCGTCAAGCCAACCCCGACCGGGACCGCCTTCCACCTGGAAACCAATGCCCTCACTGCGGAAGAAGATGCAGAGCAAGAATAGGGCTCCACAGCCACATCCGGACCCACAAGGAAACCCATAACGGAAGACCATCTTACTCATCCAATGAGGGATCGCCTAAGTAAGTAAGTAACTGCTGCGTTTGGTGGTCCCTCTGTAGACTTGTCCACAGCTGCATGGTACACGGGAGACTCCTGCAGAGGTGAGAGGATCCCTCTTGTCCTTAGCTGAATGGAGCATTTGTTGGATTTTCTTGGTGGGTTTGTAGATTGTTTTTCTGTGGTCAGCTTGCAGCAGAAATTGACCATAAAGCCATGAAACCTAGAAATGGTGGGTTGTGCTTGGAGGTTTCCTAGTAACAAAGTCAGATTGGCCACTAGATGGAGACTTCCCTTCAATGAAACTGGAATAGCATTTCTAGAAAACTTGTCATAGGAGTAGCTTTGTTAGCCTTGCAAAGAGGTTCAGGGCACAGCTCTCCCCCGGAAGTAAAAAAAAAAGTGAATATATAAATTGCTAGTTTTTCTAACTGAGAGAACGCTTTTCCAGGAATCTCTAGATTTTTAGCACGATCAACTTCTGCTGGAAAATTCCCACAGAATTGCATCAAAAGATCTTCAGATTCTGAGTCCATTTTAATCCAATTGATAAATAGTCAGATCTATCAAAGACAAAAGCGCAAATGGGGAGGGGAGGATGGAAATCCAAAATATGCATCATATCGACATGTTTATGAACAAAGCTATCACCATGAAAGTATCCCAAGCAATCCCAAAGTAATTTGAAATGAGCCTTTCTAACCCTATTCATCCTGGAGGATTAAGTGTCAGGGAAATCTGTACATAAACACTGTTATATTCACTGCTCAAATGTTGTGTGTGTTTATTCAAACTCTTCGGATGCCTCATGGGTTGAGTAGCCATGATTTGAAAGCTGCTCTGGATCTCAGTCTGGAAGGATGGTGACATAAAGGTGGAAGGATAAATAAACAAATGAGGCTTGATTTCTGTGAATTAGAGATATTAATGAAATGTGCCAAGCATGTGTCATGTTGGAATTCATTAATCACTTAGTTCATAAATTAATTGTATACCCCACTTTTCTCCCCTTTGGAATTCAAAGGAGCTGACACTGCTTTTGGGAGAATAGACCTGGAATGATGGGAGTTGTAGTACACCCACATCCAGACAGCTTTGTGATGTAGTTACTTAGCTGATCCCTTGTAGCTTGTGGATGATTGTCCCCCAAAGTTGGTGTCTTGGCGGTGGGTCTGTAGCTGGCTGTGGAGCCCTCTTCTTGATCCACATGTTCTTCCGCAGTGAGGACATCGGTTTCTAGACAGAAGGTGGTCCCAGTCAGGGTTGGCTTGATGCGCCTTCCCCTTGGCACGTTTCTCCCTTTCGCCCTCCATTCGTGCCTCTCCGAATTCTGCATCACTGCTGGTCACAGCTGACCTCCAGCTAGAGTGCTCGAGGGCCAGGGCTTCCCAGTTCTCGGTGTCTATGCCACGGTTTTTATGGTTGACTTTGAGCCCATCTTTAAATCTCATTTTCTGTCCTCCTACATTCAATTTTCCATTCTTCAGTTCGCTGTCAGCCCTAGCTTCTGCCAACCTAGCAGTTCGAAAACATGCAAAATGTGAGTAGATCAATAGGTACCGCTCCAGTGGGAAGGTAATGGCGCTCCATGCAGTCATGCTGGCCACATGACCTTGGAGGTGTCTACGGACAACGCCGGCTCTTTGGCTTAGAAATGGAGATGAGCACCACACCCCAGAGTCAGACATGACTGGACTTAATGTCAGGGGACAACCTTTACCTTTACAGTTCGGAGTAGAGTAGACGGTGATCGGGTATTCGGGCAATGTGGCCAGTCCAGCGGAGTTGATGGCGTAGGAGCATTGCTTCAATGTGGTGGTCTTTGCTTGTTTGAGCATGCTGACATTTGTCTTCCTGTCTTCCCAAGAGATTTGCAGGATCTGATGGGATAGTTCCAGGAGTTGCATGTGATGACTGTAGACAGTCCACGTCTCTCAGGCGTATAGCAGGGTTGGGAGGACAATAGTTTTATAAACAAGCGCTTGGTCTCCCTATGGATGTCCCCGTCCTCAAACACTTTCTGCTTCATTCGGAAAAATGCTGCACTCGCAGAGCTCAGCCAGTGTTGTATTTCAGTGTCAATGTTGAATTTTGTGGAGAGGTGGCTGCCAAGGCAGTGGAAATGGATGATGGATGATGGAGGTGGCTGCCGATGATGAATCTTGACCAAACTTGGCACATATAATTGTCATGACGAGCTTTAATTACTGGCAGAGTTTGGGAGGCAATGATAAAGGATGATAGGAGTTGTAGTTCATCCATATCCAGATACCACTGTGAACTCATCTGAACCAAGCTTGGCACATAGAACCACCATGATCAACTTTTAAGGACTGGCAAAGTTTGTAAGGAATTGATCCAGGAGGATGGGAGTTGTAGTTCACCCACATCCTTATGCATCTTCTAATGGGACCATTCATAAAATCCAAAAACAAACAATAATGATAAATAATGATATTTATCTCTACAAAAGCATTGCTGGGTACCTAAGCTTGAGTTGAAATTAAATAGCTAAAGTAATTAGTGTTAAACATCTACCTACTTACCAAAAATTCCAATATTGAGTAATCCCTCACTAGTTAATTTTAGATTACAGTAGAATAGATGTATATAATTTATAAGGCTGTTTTGTTTTTCTTTAGCCTGACTGTTTCTTAGTGTGCTGAGGAATATTTTCTTTATTGACCACTTGCCTTCCTTCCTGTAGCCGACGTCAATGAGGGCCATTCGAGCCAGATATGACCCCTACCTCCAGACCAGACACCGTGTCGAACAGGTAATGATTTGCTCTCACAAGAGAATTATAGTGATGTGTGTTCAATTTGAAATTGGCAGCAAGTGATTCCCAGGTCAGTGAACCTGTGCTGGCATTTAGTCTGAACTTTAGGTGGCTTCTGAAGTCCTTGTTGTAGCTCAGCAAGCAGATGAGGGTTTTTCTGATGTTTCAGAGGTGAAGGTCATTTTGGAGTCTGACCCAAAGATCTTGGAGTCTTTGTGGACATCAAGTTGAACATGATGCAGCAACTAAAAAAAGCAATGGGATTTTGGGATGCACCAAAAGGAGTCTAGTGTTGGAGCTCAGCCTGTGATTGTGTTTCAGGATCAGAGTGCTCTGGATGTGGGGAGTGATGTCAATGAGTTACAAGATGGCAGTGGTTTGGTCAATGATATTGATGCAGAGAATGAACAAGACATCCCTGTTCAAAGTGTAGTTTCCCATGAGGATGTCCCTGAAGGGTGTGGGGATGATGGTGAATTGCTACCAGAGAGTTCCCAGGATTTGGGGCTTGAAAACAACTTGGCACCTGCAGAAGTTAATGAGCAAATAGATAGACGGCAGGATACTAATCAAAACAGAAAAGCCGAACAGTGGCTTCGGCGTTCTGCCAGGCTCCAATAGAAAAAGATAAGGGGATCTTAATTAAAGCGAAACCCATTTCTGAGTGCTTGGGATAGCTTAATGAGGGGATAAAAGTCCCAAGTATGGGGAATGTAACCAGATGAAACATTGTTTGGAATCTATTTATTTATTTATTTATTTATTTATTTATTTATTTACAGCATTTATATTCCGCTGTTCTCACCCCGCAGGGGACTTAGAGCAGATTACAGTGTACACATATATGGCAAACATTCAATGCCAATTTTGACTTACAACATACACAGACATAGACAGAGGCCAGGGGAGCTGTCGCTTTCATCGTCCATCTGTGACACTGATGAAGTACTTCCGCATTCCCCGCATGCTTTTTTGCTGGAGTGCTTTGCTGGAGTCTTTTTTATAGCCTCATAAATTAGTTAATTTAGCCTCCCCATACTTTAAGGTGGTACCTAATTTTCCTACTTGACAGATGCAACTGTCTTTCGGGTTGCAAAGGTCGACAACAGGCTACACAATTGGTTGGAAACCCATTCCAACCCGGTCTGGCTTTGAACTCATGACCTTTTGGTCAGAGTGATCTTAATGCAGCTGACACTCAGCCAGCTGCACCACAAGTTAAGTTCTTGTCCTTGTTTCATGGTACCCTAGCTTGGAAGATTCTTGTTTTATGGTTTTTATTCTTGCATTTTATGACTACATACCAATGTCTTGGATCAATGTTTCCTGGTTTTCTGGATTATATTAGAGAAGTGTGGACTTTGTTTTCATGGACTTTGCTGAGCTTTACCCTGGACTATTTTGTTCCTGCTTATCTTCTTACCTAATTGGATTTACCTATTTCTGTAAAGTGCTTTTTTACTTTGCTGCTTTTTAATTATTTCCAATAAAAGGATTGTTTTATGTGAAAACGTGGTTGTTCCAGTGTGCCTTCCCAGAATAAGAAAACTCCTAGCATTATGTCCCAACGCACTTTATCAGAGATCTAGGATATCTGCATGTCCATCCCCCTCCAAACACTCCACCTTGTCACGCCCAGCACTTTTTAACTTTAATTATTACATTAGCCCTGCCATTGTTTTTAACTGCGTCATTGTGTGTTGTTAATGTAATTACTTTGTTTTTTGAGTTACTTTGCGGTTATTGTTGTTATTGTTTTTATTATTGTATTTGGGCTTGGCCTCTTGTAAGCCGCACCGAGTCCTTCGGGAGATGGTAGCGGGGTACAAATAAAGGATTATTATTATTATTATTATTATTATTATTATTATTATTATTATGTGTGGTGTTTAAAGTCAGAGGTCTTTTCCTGTCCTGGAGTGCAACATCTAGTCTAGTTGGAAGGAAGTCATAGTCTCCCTCCCCTCTGCTTTGGTCAGACCTCAATTTCTTTACTGCAAGATCTGTTCAGCAGTGGAACTCTCTGCCTTAGAGTGTGCTGGAAACTCCTTTTTTGGACTAGATGACCCATGTGGTCTCTTCCAACTCTATGATTCCATGACTGCTGTACTTTCTAATTTTATTGTATCTTTGCAGCTGAAACAGCTGGGCCACAGTGTGGACAAAGTGGAGTTCATTGTGATGGGTGGGACGTTCATGGCCCTTCCGGAAGAGTACAGGGATTACTTTATCCGTAATTTGCACGATGCGCTCTCCGGTCACACTTCGAACAGCGTGGCAGAGGCAGTCCGGTAGGTATCCTCTGTTGCAGAATCATATATTCCGTTTGTTGGTTTGCTTTTCTTGCACCAGGCATTTGTGTTAGCTGAACAATGTGCCCATTGAAAACTTTGAATTCCTTTGTGATTTTTCCCCTGGCAGCTTCAAGATGCATAATTGTGTATTTATTTGTTTGTTTGTTTATTTACAGCATTTATTTTTCGCCCTTCTCACCCCGCAGGGGATTCAGGGTGGATCACAATGCACATATACATGGTAAACATTCAATGCCATAGACATGCATCGCATATAGACAGAGACACAGAGGCTATTTAACTTTCCAGCTTCACGAGGGTATGCTTTTTGAATTCTGGCCACCGGGGGAGCTGTGGCTTCACCATTCACTTGTGACACCAATTGAGTATTTCCTCATTCTTTTGCACACTGCTAGAGAATTTTATGGTGTTGTAATATTGTTATGTTTATTCCTTATGTGCTTTATTATTATGTGTGTCCTCATTTGATGTTTTCTGAAATAAGCATTCATGAAAATTCTGGTAAGCAGATACAAAAGAGAGCAGAGCTTTTTTTTACTGGCTTGGGTACCTGGCGGTGCCCATTTTTTTAAAAAAATGCATTGTTTGTTTTGGGGTGTTAGGTATTATCATTTAGTTAATTAGTAACACAATTTATTACGAACAAGTCAGGATGTGATGTCATTTTTTATTAACGCTCCCTTTAGGAAATACATAACGATGTGGGAGAACTACAATTCCCTCTCTTTCGCTTTTCGCTTTCTTTGTCTATTTCCATTACCATTTTATCATTTGTTTTTATTGTGTTTTTGTTATTTTTTATTTTACTACTAGCTGTACCCGCTACACGTTGCTGTGGCCAACCTTCCCTCTCTCTTTCTCTCCTTTCTTTCTCTCCTTCCTTCCCTTTTTTCTTTCCTTCTTTCCTTCTCTTCCTCTTCCCTTCCCCTGCTTTTCTTTCCCTCCCTCTTTCTCCCCTTTCTTCCTTCTCTATCTATTCTTGGACTGCAACTCCCAGCAGTCCTCCTGATTAACCTACCTACCTACCAACCTACCTCTATCTAATCTATCTTATCTATCTGGAGGATTGCTGGGAGTTGCAGTCCAGGAATAGGAAATTGGAAATATGCAGGGATTGGGATGCTCTGAAAGAAATCCAAGGAGAAGAAAGCTTGTGGCTTGGAAGCGGTGCATTTGGATCATCCTCCTCTCCTAAAGGGCCTGGGCTAGGGGATGCTTTCCCCCAGTATCATTCTTTTCTCTAAGCTTTCCTTTCTACTCATGATGTGGCCAAAGGACTTCATCTTGGCCTCTCGTCTCCTTCCCTCCAGTGAGCAGTCGGGCTTTATTTCCTGGAGTATGGACTGGCTGGATCTTCTGGCAGTCCAAGGCATTCTCAAAACTTTCCTCCAACACCACAGTTCAAAAGCATCTATCTTCCTCCGTTCAGGCTTCCTTATGGTCCAGCTCTCAAATCCGTAGGTGACTGTGGGGAATACCATGGCTTTGACTATGCAGATCTTGGTTGCCTCTACTCTCTACTCTTCACTCTTTTATTGAGATTGGACATTGCTCTCCTCCCAAAAAGTAAGCGTCTTCTGATTTCCTGGCCACAGTCTGCATCTGCAGTAATCCTTGCACCTAGAAATACAAAGTCTGTCCCTGCTTCCACATCTTCTCCCTCTATTTCCCAGTTGTCAATCATTTTCCCTTTTTCAATGCCACTGTCGAACATTTGTCCAAACCAAACTCCATGCTGATATCAGTGCTAAAGATTCAGACAGTGTTAGTCAGAGACTGGATTTCAGTTTCAGTTTTCCCATTCAGCTTCAGGTCATCCATGTACAGCAGATGTGAAATTCTGGTTGCCATAATCTTGGTTTGTTTAATGTTTAACTGCAACCCGGCTTTTGCGCTTTCTTCTTTCACCTTGATTAGAAGGCTCCTCATCTCCTCCTCGCTTTCGGCCATCAAAGTGGTGTCATCTGCATATCGAAGGTTGTTAATGTTTCTTACAGCAATTTTCATCCCAACTTTGCATTCATCAAGCCCCGCACATCGCATTTATTTATTTTTTGTCGTGTCAGGAGCGATCACTCCTGTTGTGAGAGAATTGGCCGTCTGCAAGGACGTTGCCCAGGGGACGCCAGGATGATTTGATGTTTTATCATCCTTGTGGGAGGCTTCTCTCATGTCCCCGCATGAGGAGCTGGAGCTGATAGAGGAAGCTCATCCGCCTCTCCCCGGATTTGAACCTGTGACCTGTCGGTCTTCAGTCCTGCCGGCACAGGGCTTTAACCCACTGTGCCACCGGGGGCTGCATGATGTGTTCTGCATACAAGTTGAATAGGTTGGGTGAGAGGATGCAGCCTTGCTGTACGCCTTTCCCAATCTTGAACCAGTCTGTTGTTCCGTGGTCAGTTCTGACTGTTGCCACTTGGTCCTTGTACAGATTCCTCAGGAGAGAGACAAGGTGGCTTGGGATGCCCATCCCACTAAGAACTTGCCACAATTTATTATGATCCACACAGTCAAAGGCTTTGGAATAGTCAATGAAACAGAAAGAGATGTTTTTCTGAAACTCCCTGCCTTTCTCCATTATCCAGCGGATATTGGCAATCTGGTCTCTCTTTCCTCTGCCTTAAAATATAGCTTTTATAATACTTTCAAATACAGCTTTTAAAAGACGAGTTAAGAAACGGCATTAAGTATGAGACTTAAAACAGTATTGGATATTTGTATGTTTAAATAGCAGTGATAAAAACCGAGATAAAATAATAAAACCTTTTAAGACTAACAGCACCCTGCGCCGACAATCTATTGCGACTGCACAAAAGCGAGCAACTTTGCCAGTAATTTCAGAAGATTGGTCAGCCAATAAGCCTTTCAGGTCTCCCTGGCGTACTTTGTAAAATTGGATTAATAAAATATAGCCGAAGGTCTCGGTAGAAAGAGCGGTGCAGTAAAACATGTGCCTCAGCCTCACATGGACATAGGCGCCCACAGTATGGTACCTTGCTATATCATCCCTCCAGTACTGCAGAAAGGGAGCACGTTGTATTTCGCCAAAAAGAACGTCTTCCGGTATTTTGGAATAATTAGATTGCTAATAATAATCATCATCATCTTTATACCCCGCCACCATCTCCTCCAATAGGGACTCGGTGTGACTTACATGAGGCCAAGGCCAAGCAACAAATTACAGCAAAATAAAACCAAAAACACAAGCAACAAACAACAACAACATCTATATAAATAAAAATGTAATGTTCGTTTGTGGGATTAACATAACTCAAAAACCACTGGACGAATCGACACCAAATTTGGACACAGTACATCTATCAGGCCAACGAGTGACCATCACTCATAAAAAAACCAAAAAACACAGCAGAAGAGACTTAAAAAGCCAAAAAACAAAAATTACATTACAACGCATGTGCTAAACCACATATACACACATATACACACATAGCACCAACCAAGATCCGGAGGGCGGGGAGGCGGGGTCGCAGTGGTCTATAGAGATTCCATCCATCTGACCAGGAGTCCCATCCCGCAGTCAACAAATTTTGAATGCGTCCACCTGAGGGTGGGTGACCGGGACAGAATAGGGATTCTGTTAGTGTACCGTCCACCTCGCTGCACTACAGTCTCCCTACCTGAGCTAGCGGGGGTAGTCTCGAGCCTGGCGTTGGAGTCTCAACGGCTTCTCGTGCTGGGAGACTTCAATATCCACGCCGAGGCGACCCTCACAGGAGCAGCTCAGGACTTCATGTCTGCCATGGCAACCATGGGGCTGTCCCAACAAATATCTGGCCCCACCCACTGTGCTGGACATACATTGGACTTGGTTTTCTGCCAGGGATGGGAGCAAGGTGGCGGTGTGGAGGAGTTGACCATCTCTCCGTTGCCATGGACCGACCATTTCCTGGTCAGATTTAGGCTCACTGCGCCCCCCAACCTCTGCAAAGGTGGAGGACCCATTAAGTTGGTCCGCCCCAGGAGGCTTATGGATCCGAATGGATTCCTGACGGCTCTTGGGGATTTTCCCGCCACCTCGGTAGGTGACCATGTCGAGGCCTTGGTCGCTCTCTGGAATGGGAGATGGCCAGGGCAATTGACACGATCGCTCCGGAACGTCCCCTCTCAAGTAGCCGAGCTAAACCAGCTCCTTGGTTTACTGAGGAGCTGGCAGTGATGAAGCGAAGGAAGAGGGAACTAGAGAGCGTGTGGCGTTCGGATCCGAGCGAGTCAAATCGAACACGGTTTGTGTCCTTTCTAAGGGCATATGCCGCGGCAATAAAAGCCGCAAAGAAAACGTTCTCTCTGATGACCCAGCAGCTCGGTGTCGCGATTTCGCACACCATTTTGCAGGTAAAGTCGCTCAGATACGCCTTGAGCTCGACTCCAATTCCATCGCAGTGCCTGAAGAGGTGACGGAGGCATCTGCTTGTCCAATTTTGTGGGATTCTTTTAGGCTTGTTCTCCCTGAAACCGTAGAGGAGGTTCTTGGGGCTGTGAGGGCGACCACCTCACCTCTAGACCCATGCCCATCTTGGCTCATTAAATCAGCCAGGGAGGGGTTGGTTGACTGGTTTGTATTGATTGTCAATGCATCGTTGGAGCAAGGGATTTTTCCATCTGGTCTGAAACAGGCTGTGGTTCGTCCACTCCTCAAAAAGGCGTCCCTTGACTCCACGGTGCTGAGTAACTACAGACCAGTCTCCAACCTCCCTTTCTTGGGTAAGGTGCTGGAGCGAGTGGTCGCCTCGCAGCTCCAGAGCTTCCTAGACGATACCAACTACCTAGATCAGTCACAGTCTGGTTTCAGGCCTGGTCATGGCACCGAGACAGCCTTGGTCGCCTTGGTGGATGACCTCCGCAGAGAGCTGGACAGGGGGAGTGTGACCCTGCTGGTTCTCCTGGACATCTCAGCGGCTTTCGATACCATCGATCATGGTATCCTTCTGGGTCGTCTCTCTGGGATGGGCCTCGGG